CAGTCCCATAACTTTGGAGGGGGGGGGGCTGATTTGTGATTTTTGAATATTTGGTGCTGGTGATGCTGTGAACCCCACAGGAAAAGGCTGTTCAAGTCTGAGGGATAAAGGGGCCGCTGAGCTCTCACAGTGAGGTTCACTCTAGAGTACCTTAGGAGCTCCCTGGCCAAGACCTGATGGCCAAGCAGAGGAAGACTTGTGTTTGCCTTCCTCTCCATGTGGTAGCTTGAGCTGATCCAGTGCTGCCTCCCTGATGGGTTCTCCTCCTTTCCCCCCTTTTTAGTTGTGGTTCCTGCTCCCTTTGTCCCTATAATTATTTAGTTTATTGTGTGCTCCTGGGAGCAGCTGCTCCTGCTGCCCTTTAATCCTCCAGCCTAATTCTAGCCCTGAAACACAATCTCCCCCCTGCCTGGCTCCAACAAGGTGCAAGGGGCACTTGGCCCACTGTGTGTTTCCTGCTGGGCAGGCACTGGCTGGAGCCTTCTCCACAGGGTGCATGCTCCGTGCCAAGTCCCCCACAGCCCTGCCTCCTCAGCAGGGTTCTAACAAGGGACCCAGTCCCCTCCCTCACAGCCTGGAAGATGTGAGATGCAGAGCTGGGGTTTAATCTTTGGGCAATGGAGCTGCCTTGTCAAGGCACTGCCCCTGGGCCAAGCCTGGAGGTGGATGACTTACGACTGCCAGTCCTGCCCCTGTGGGGGAAATTGGGGGAGACTCTTACTGTGGGTTTAGTACTGAGGGAGGAAGAGGAACAGAAGCATGTGGGCCCTGTCTAACGTGAGAGGGAGTGAAGCCCATCTCTTGCACCTTCCACAGGAGGAGCTTTGCAGATATTATGGAATTTAAGTCTGTGGTCATCTAAGGGACCCCCCCTCTAGGCTCCCGGCTTCTCAGCCATCACCTCTCTCAGGTGGAGAGCAGTGTTTCTTGCCTTCCTGACTGGGGTTTGTCCCAGGCTGTGCAGTTCCCTGCCTGCACTGTGATATCCCCAGCAAGCCAGGCTGCCTCGAAGGCCAGTGTCTGCAGTTTGCTGTCTCTCCAAAGGCTATGAACAGTGTACTAGCCAGCAGTTGTGCTTTAACAAACAGCTCTTGGTAAGAAAGCACGTTCTTAAGGTGAAAGCATTACAGAGAAAACATTAAAAAAATAAAAACCTACACACATGCTAAAAAGCGTATGAGCACTCACCCTGACACTCTGATCGGTGTCAGGCCTTCCAACCCTTCCACAAAGGTTGGGGGCCCCTCTTGGACCAAAGGGCCTGTCCCTTGGCTGGATCAGGAAGAAGATCCTGAGTCAGTGTAAATTCAAGGTATTTATCCAAAAGTCCTTCTTTGTCGGGTATGTGGAGACTCCAGTTTTAACTAGTATTTGCGAGCCTCTGCAGCAGGTGATACCTCTCTGGGGGGGGGGGGGGGGGGGGGTTACAACCTGCCTGATTTGCCTGAATCCCCACCAACTTCTGTTAGTTCCTGGAGGAGCTGTGGCAGCCTTCCCCCAGGGAGGAGAACACAAATCATACAATAATCCCATCCTTTCTCCTAGTGTGGATAGAACCTAGGCATCTGTGCTCCTGCTGCTGCTCTGCCACTGGCTAGTTCAGCTTGTTTGGCTGAAGTGGGGACTAGGTGCACATTGCATTCGCTACTGTGCAAATCCTGCCTCTCCTAGCCATCCTCCCTCTCAGAAACCTGCCCCCTCTGCAGTGATGCTGCTTGCCACTTCATGCAATGCTCTTTGCCTGGGCAGTGAGGGAAATATTCTAAGCTGCTGCCTAGGCGCTCAGCAGCTTCCCTCCCTCTCCCCCAGTGAGTGGGGAGGAGTGTACGCTGATCTGCAATCAATAGGCGCATCCTCATCACATAGCAGCAGCGGGGGGCTCTAGATGGGAAATGGGCACATCACAGCCCAAGCTTCAGTAGTGAGGAGCCAAGCACAGTCAGCTACTGTGAGGCACTGCCAGCTCTCTGCTTCCCTGGCCCCACTGGCTCCTTCATGGAGCCTGCCTCTGGTTATAATCCCTATCCCCTCCTTGTAGAAAGCCCTGTTTTCCCCCGACTTCCTCCTGAGAAAGATAGTTGCTGATGCTCACACCCTTCCCGCTTCTCCAGGGCTGCCCTGAGCCTCCCTTTGTCAGCTGTGTGTGGGTTTTTGCTGGGGCCCCATTATTCTATTTATCTGAGGTATTTCGATGCCCCCCTCCCATTACCATAGTATTCTGAGCACCTCAGAGTCCTTGCTGTATTGATCCTCCCACACCGCTGTGAGGTAGGGCACTGATCGTAGCCCCGTGCCACACATGGGGAACTGAGGCACAGGAAGGCTAAGGTTCAAAGGTGCTAAAGATGTTGTGAGTGGCATTTTCCAAAGCAGCTAACTCCCACTGACTCCAACTAGGCACTGCTCTGCAGCTTTAGGACCCCGAATACCTTTACAAGGTGCTTGGGTTCCTTCAACACCCAACCCACTGGCCCAGTCTGGACAATTCACTGGGGTGACCTCTTCCTTATCTCCAGCTGAATGGTAGATCTCAGGAGTAGGGGGGGGAGAGATGGGGAGGGGGTTGCAGAATGGTGGGCCCCAGTTGCTTCGCTGTGCTGCATACAGGAGAACCTCAACCTCTAAGGAAGGGCGAGAGCATCACTGTCCAGTGCAGTGAAGAGGCTGGGGTGTGACAAGTGGTAAATGTGTGGCCATGTAGAAGACCCAGACTGCTGTGGTGCTGCTAGCGTGCTGTGGGAGCCTAGGAAGGTGGCTCTGACCCAGGGCCTGGATCAGTCTGGGTGTGTATAAAAACGCAGCCGCATGGCAGTGAAAAGAGAGCAGAGCTGGGAGAACGCTAATGAGCTGATGCTGCCATAGTGCGGCCTTTCCTACCACATGCGCAGTGGGGCTCTTCCCAGCACCAGCTTGCCCAGTCTGGGCCTCTGACAGGATCCCGCCACATAGGAATGGGTCCCTATGTCCCACAACTCACCGAGCTGCTTGGCCCTCCTCCCCATCCCTCCCCCAAAGCCTTCCTCCAGTGCTGCAGGGCCAGAGCTGAGTGCCCTCCAGCAGGTAGACATCACCACCACAGGCCCAGCAGGCTGGGAGCTGAGCTGGCACCCAGCCAAGCCAGTCAGGCACTTTAGAACACTGCTGCCTCCTCGTGGCTCTCCTAGCTTTTGTGGTGTGCTCACTCCCGTGCGCTGAGGGCTGGAGCGGGGAAAGGGTGAGCTCTCCATGCCACAGCCAGTTGCAGGTTCATTGTTCTACCAGGGTTTGAAGCCAGCTCCAATCTGAGCCTTTCCAGCTAACCACTCTGCCTGGTTCTCTAGTGGCCGTGCGGGAGGTGCTAGGTTGAGCTCAGATGCGATGGGGCTCTGCCCTGCTGGGTTTTATTATTATGGAATAAAACCTCTTAAACTGCTCCCGTGCCCCAGCCATCCCAAAGCACTTTACAAACTCAAGTATCAGAGGGGTAGCCGTGTTAGTCTGGATCTGTAACAGCAGCAAAGAGTCCGGTGCATCCGACGAAGTGGGTATTCACCCACAAAAGCTCATGCTCCAATACATCTGTTAGTCTATAAGGTGCCACAGGACTCTTTGCTGCTTTTACAAACTCACTGACGCAAAGCTGCCAGCCTGGGCTAACAGCACGTGGGAACGCACCACGGGAGGGCAGGACAAGCCGTCTCCCAGGGCAGATTCAGGAAGGCAGGCTGGACTCGCACAAGCTGGAATTTGACCTCCCTGCCCCCTCTTACATAAACTGCTCCAAGACAAGGAGCAGACCCTTGGGTTTAAGGCTCACCTGAGATACAGCAGCTTCTACAGCACATCGTCCGTTGGCACTGCCCTGGAGTATTGGTGCGGATGTGGCCCAAGGAGCACCTCTGCCTGAATCCCCTTGTCGCACCCTGTAACTGCGTCCCTCTGCACTTTCCAGAGGCATTAGAGTCAGCATTGAGTGAAAAGGGCAGCGCACCCCTGCCTGAGTCCCCCTCCCCTCTGCCTGCAGCACCTAGGTTTTCACTGGCCAGCTCCCCTGCGAATTCTGCCCAGCTCTGCAGCTGTTGACAGAAGAGCTAGCGTTAGAAGAGCTCCAGGATTAGGGGGACAGGCCCCTGTTACTGCAAGGGCTTTGGCCCTTTCTCACTGTAATTCCCTTCAGGGAGATGGGGCTATACAGAATCTGGCTCAGCTTTGATTCCTCGTGGGAGCAAATGCTTCGAAGGTACCAGCAATGAGCGAGATTTCAGGGCTCTGCTCTCATGGAACAGCAGAGAGCCATGGTACATACAGGCCTTCTAGCATCTCCTATATACATGCACTGGATCTGGCTCTCTCTGACAAGGACAGAACCAAGAACTTCTCAGCCCATCCAGCCTGATAGCCAGCGCTGGGTCACGGGGAAGTGGAGACAGAGCAGTAGAGTCTGGCCATGTGGTCTTTGCTCACACACCCTGCCCAGCACCGGCTCCAGGACATACGGGCTCACCCGCTCAATCGACCTCTCCCAGCCCATTCAACGCCCTTCCCTGTCAGTGGGAGCAGGAATGACAGAGCCTCTTGCAGCCATGAGCTGTGCCACGTCTGTGACCTTTATAAAACTCTCTTCAAGACACCGGTACAAGCAATAGAAAGAACATCTGTTATACACAAATATATACCTCTGAATAAATACAACCTTCAGCACGTGGGTCAGGAATGTACAGCCAGGAGGGGGAGGCTGTGTGATCTAAACATGCAGTGAGTGGATAAGCACAAGCAGCTGACAGAGCATGTGACACAGACACTCATGTAGATTCACTCAGGCCAGGATCCAAAACTCAGAACCCAAAGGGGGCATGGATGGGACTTGAAGGATGTGAGCGCATAATTGGGGCAGGCCTCCTGGAGGCACGTGGGCATGGGCACAGCAGGGTATGCACACATACAGCACAGACATTCACCCAGCATGTGTGGTGTGAAAACACACACACACACACTCCATGCACGCATTGCACATGGCCCACCCATACAGGCAAACATTGCTTTTCTTAGTAGACGCTGCAGGAGTATCCTAGTCACATCTCTGTTTCTGCTAAGAGGCTCTCGCCCAGACCTGACGTCACCAAGACCATCTGGGAGCTGGGATCTGTGGAGCAGATGGGAGAGAGAATGTTAGACATTTGAGCTGGAGAAGAACACAGGTCTGGACACCAGGCGCAGAGTCGAGAGTGAGAGAAGGGGACAAAGGACACGAGAGATGCAGAGCAAATGAGGGCTAAGGAGGAGCTTGGCTAACATGGAAGGAGCCAGAAGCCAGAGAGGATTTTGAGACGGAGAGGTGACCAGATGCACACTCTGTGCAACATGGCAGAGTTAATGCTGTCTGGGGGACCTTAAAGTGACTGCCCAAATGCCACTGCGGGGATCCAGATGTATTGTCTCCCAGGGACGCCGTGTGCTCAGGTTACAAAGGAAAAGCCAGCCCTGAAAACTCCCCCTGGGATCTGAGAGTCTGTCCATCATCATGAGCACTATGGGTTCTGCTGGCCAAATTGGCCCTTCAGTGACACCTGTGCAATCTCACTGCCTGCAAAGTCTGCCCTCAATCACAACTCCTGTGCTCTCAGAGAGGCTGTACAGGTATAACTGGCTTGAACTTCGCAACCCTTTCTGTTGCCAATCCACAAGAACAGAATCAAGCTCGCCCCCCTTTAGCTGTGCTGGCGCTGCAGGGTTTACAGGAGTAAGCAGCAGATCTGCCCCTAATACATATGGGAACCAAGGGGCCATGTGACCACCAGCACTTGGCACTTTGTTTCCCAGCTGATACCTGGAAATTCCCGCTCTTCACACTGTCTGAATGGAGGGTTGACATGTAACTTCCCTGGTCAGTTTTAAAGAGGAAGGTGAAGCCGGAAAGCAGATAGGACATACCATTACCTCACCCTCTCCACTGCTCCTGATGGCTCTGGCCAGCACGTGACTGCACAAAGAACCAGCCACTGTTGCCAAAAGAATTCTTCCCCAAACTCAGCTGAGCACCTTGAGGATGGTGTGTATGGAGCTGAACACATATGTGTTTCTGTTGAGAAGGCTATTTAATAGCAGACCACCCCATCCTTCTTCCCAAATGCTGGAGTCAGGTTCTTGCACCAGGAAGCATTGGGGTCCAGATGTTTTTGGACTAGAGCAGCTGTGTTGGTCTCTATTTGAACAATGAAATTTGGGGGACGAGGTCGAAATATTGATTGGATCTCACAGAATCTGGGTGTTGGAGACAGGTTTTGGGGCACTGCTGCACCGAGATGTGTCAGGGTCCAGATGTTTTTGGTGCATTATGAGCAGCTATACTTGTTCTCTATTTAGACACTGGAATTGGGAGTGGGCAGGGGTGAGCATTGGCCAAAAATTGGCTGGATCCAGGTACTAGTTCCAAGTTTTTGTGGTGCTATGGCATTGGAGTCTGGATTTGTTCGGTGCTTTAGGAGCAGCTATACTAGTTCCTATTTTGATGGGACAACAGGGGAGCTTGGGTTAAACAATGAGCAGGATCTGGGTAGATCTCCTTTTTGCCTTTATCCCTGTTAGTTCTGCTGGATTCCTATCAAACACTGGTATACAATAGCTCACTGGAATCGCTACAATATCCCTTTCCTTCAAATACAGCCACTGCAGATAGAATATAGTGCTGGTAACCCTCACAAGGTTTACCCCATTCAAATTGGAGGGGAATTTAGGGAAGCAGCCTGGAATGACATGAGCTGGAATTTAGCTGAGACACCAGGGCCAACTCCCCAAGTTTTATGAAAAGACCCACGAGAGCTTTAATATTCATGACTCTGATTTTACGTCTCTGCTGAAAGATGTTAATTCCTGCAGCATCATGCTGGGGCACTGGTACTGGAAAGAGCCCACTGAGCCCCACCTCTGCTTCTTGCAGAAGCCGGATTGTCCTGGGAGGCTTCCTATAGAAGTACTGACCCAGCCCAACTCTACTTAACTGGTTGATGAGACTTGAAGTCAGTTTGTATTCCAGCCCACAATGAGGTGGGACCTTGTCCATTTACCAACCCCACAGTGACATGCTCATCCCAGCAGAAAACATCACGGAACCCTCATTCCTGCCAGCCTCCCCAGTCCAGCCTCATCTCCACCTCTCTGGGGTCCCAGAGGTCTTACTGCTCTGGCAGATCCAGGGGTTCTTCTCCCTGGCCGTGACTTCATGAGCCTCATTCTCCTCCTCTTCCTCACCCTCGGAGAGCAGGTCCGAGATCTGCTGCTGCAGTTCAGGACTGATGCTGTTCTCTGCCAGGATCAGCGTCCGCAGGGCTGTTGGGTAATTCTCCACCATGTCCAGCAAGGTCTGAGCAGAACGAGAGCCAGAAGCGGGTAGAGAGGCAGCACAGACAGAAGTCAGATTGACGGGAAAGGGGTTCAGAGCTGCTTTGTACTCTCTTCATCCGCCCCAACGCCTGTCCTCGTTTCTTCTCTCTGGCCTCCACTGGCTCTGAGCCCCCCACACCAGCTTTTAGGGACACCAAGAACTCTCCACCTGAGACCATTGCCAGGACTTCCTGGCTATACCCAAGGAGGAAACTACTCCTGCTCTCTCCTACCTGCAAATGTCCCCTGCCACCTCCAGCTGTGTCCCCTGTAAGCCTGAGTCAGACGAGACAGAGAAAATGGGAAATCTCAGTACCATGAGCTGAGCTTCTCAGAGAAGAGACTGCAAAAGCAGATAATCATCTATAACCCCCTAATCTCAAATCCTACCCGCTCTAAGCCTAAACTCCAAGACTTATTCACAAACCTTGTTCCTGAAACCAAACCTTCTCCTTCACTTTTCCAGAGAACCAGAGATGCAAAAAGTCTGCTCTTTCGCCCTCCAGTGGCTAGGGCTGAGCAGGACCTCTAAGGGCTGAGAGCCATGGGTCAGGGAAAGGAACAGATAGTAACAGTACTTCTAGGTGCAGAGACTGTTCTGAGAAGAGGATCCATTGATGGGGGGGAGGGAAGGAGGTACATCTCAGGGTTGGGGACTCCACTGTTTGTTGACACCTGTGTCCCTGAGATGCAGATGATGCTATATCAGCACCAGACACTCCTTACCTGGGCCGAATGGTTGGTAAGTCCTGTTCCTTCCAAGTCCAGAACCTCCAGGGTGCGACTGGAGGCCACAGCAACAGCCAGCATCCCTGCTACCTGGTCACCTGGAGGAGAAGAAAGCCAGGGGATGTCAGCAGAGTTTGGCTTCACACTGACCATGCATCCACTGGGCCAGGCAGATCATGGGACTACCCCGTCCCAATGCTACCAGCTAATCCCTATGTGCCAAGAACACTTTGGAGGAGGAAGTGAAGGGTTGTTGGTTGTGAAAAGAGACAGGTTGCGGGGGATGGATTGTTAGTTGTGGGCTGTGACTGGCTGTTCTGGGAGTGAACAAGGAGAACTTGAAGGAACATAGTGAAACTGTTTCTCTTACAAGAAGACTTTGTTCATACACAGCACCTTCCATCCACCTACCCAAGGATCTCAGAGCCTCCCGTCATCACCAGTTGGGAAACTCAGGCACAGAGAGGGGAAGTGACTGGCCACAGGGTCAGAGAGGAAGTCAGTAGTAGAGCCAGAAATAGATCTCAGGAGTCCTGGCTCCCAGCCCTTCTGCTCTGACCACTAGCTCCCACTCCCTCTCAGAGTCAGGAATAGAACCCAGGAGTCTACTGTCCTAGCCAGCAGACATGCTGTCACCCCTTGCAGGGGAACGGCTCTTTTGGGGCTGACCCCACTGGCAGCCAGTGCCCGTGAAGCACTCTCCTGAAAATCCCCAGGAAGGAGGCAGGGGACAGTCACAGGTGGGGCTCCATCAGCTACCATGTTAGGAACTCTTAACACAGAGTAGAAGATGTGGGTCCGGCTGGAGAATCTTGCCTGTATGCTCGGGGTTCTACTGATCGCCATATTTGGGGTCGGGAAGGAATTTTCCTCCAGGGTAAATTGGCAGAGGCCCTGGAGGTTTTTTGCCTTCCTCCGCAGCATAGGGCAGGGGTCTCAAGCTGGAGGATTCTCTGCGACTTGAAGTCTTCAAATCACGATCTGGAGACTTCAACAGCTGAGATAAGGGAAATTGGGTGGGCCAGCTTTTGTGGCCTGCATCATGCGGGAGGTCAGACTAGATGACCATAATGGTCCCTTCTGACCTTAAAGTCTATGAGTCTATGAGTCTAAGCACCCAGCCAGCCAGGGTCTCTGCTGGGGTGGGGTGGAGGTGGGGGGATGGGGCAGGGGGGGAGAGAGAGATGCTTGGCCTAGTTTCCTGGGGCAGGGTGAGGTAGGAGAGCCACATGGCCTGGTCTCTGCCTCACCAGCTGCCAATCCTGCTCCAGCAACACAAGCTGGAGAAGGAGAGTTGGTTTCCATGGCAACCATTGCCAGGCTCTTCTCCATGCTATTATCCGGGGAAGGAGCTGGAGGAAAGGGGGGAGGGGGGCATTTTCCATCTGGCAGGCCAATTGCTCAGGCCTAAGGGATTGGGAATGGGAGGGAACAGAGGAAGGTCACCACCTGAGCTGAGGCCTGACACAGGCAAACACAGCTGTGGGACAAGGGGAGTCCAGAGTCCCCGGGGGATGGAGGTGCGGGACACAGTCTTTCCTCTCTAGGTTGCTTGCAGCTGCTATCTCCTCTGTGAAGCATGTTTGATGCATTTCCTGGCAGGACACGTGTCCTCATCACACAAACTATCAGCACAAGTGGAACTAACTGGCCCCCAGTCTCAAGCAGAGAACTGAATGGGCTCTGAAGAATGAACTCCCCCCTCACTAGGGTGACCACATAACAGGTGTGAAAAATTGGGACACTTTTTTTGTGGGGGGTGGGAGGTATAGTTGCCTATATAAGACAAATCTCCTAATATCTGGTCACCCTAGTTCTCATCTCCAGGGCAGGGAAGAGGACCAGCAGAAGGGACAGTGTGGAGGAACCTGCATTGCCTTGCCAGTGCCCAGGATGTCCCTGGTCTAGATTCAGTCTCCAGGGCCACCAGACCAGCACCTTCAGCAGCAGCAAACTCACACAAAGCCTGTCAAGCTTTAGTTCAGAGCCTCTCACGCCTGTGCCGCTCACCGAGGGGGTTGTAGTCCAGGTTCAACACTCGCACCTGGGAGCTGTGAGCTACTGCAATGGCCAGGCGCCCCCAACCTTTGACCGTGACACCCGGGTTTGCGCTCAGTGTTAACTCCTTAAGGCCTGGAGAAGAGAGAGAAGCCAATGAACACCCTAAGGATCCAGACAAGTCACCAAACCTTCCAGAGGAGAGGTTAATTATCTGATTAGCGCTACAACCTGCAGTGCTGCCCCTTCATTTGCTCACAAGAAGCAGTCTCAGCGTGGGAGGGGAAGATGGGCAGGACAGGCAGGTAGTGAAGCTTGAGTTTCAGGATGGGTGGCTGCTGTGTCTATTGTGAGCATATACCTGGGGAGGCCTCAGGTCAATAGCTGGTTAGGGTGCTGGGGTGAGAGGGTGGAGACAGAGCCCAGGCCTCAGACTTCATCCCCTGTAAAGAGGAACTTATTCAGCCAGCAGACAGTTAGTCCCTTCCCCATAAAACAGGCACAAGGGATCATTCAGTGTTAATTCTCAGGGGAGCCAATGGGGCGAATTTACTGTAAATCCCAGTTCCGGGGCAGGATGGGGAGGGGCGGGGGGGAGGAGGAATGTAATGTGCATTGATCTGCATTCATTGTAAATGCACCAATCACAGCTCAGGCTTCACAAATGCAAAATATTAACACCAAATCAGAAGTCCAAGCCTTGCGCCTCCCTCCCCCTAAATTCAAACTCTCCCATCACGAGGCAGCAAACTGGCCACCATTCCCCACTAGCATCGTGCCAATGGAACAGTCCACTGTACCAGGAGCCATGCTCCATTGGACACGGCTCCCTCCCCTTAGAACTACGCAAGGAGGAAGCAGAGTCCTCACCTGGTGCAATGGCTCCTGTACTAAGGGACTGTTCCACTGCACTTACGCTGGGAGGAGAAGCCTCGTGCCATGTCTCAGCAGAGGGAGAAACTTTATGTCCTACTCCTCTAACAAGTCACAGGCAAAGGACGTTTAGCTCTAAGCAGAGGGGCCTGAGCCATATAGGAGTTCCATTGGCCACTGCATACCCCACAGACCCTTTTGCTTACCTGACTTGGCTCCATCGGGAGGCAGGAGCCCACAGATCAAGTTGATGCCCTCGTCACCCAGCATGCAGTCTCCCAAGTCCAAAGCCACCAGAGAGGGATGGATGGAGAGTGCTGGATTGAGGAGAGCTAGGCCGGCGTCTGTCAGGGGGCTCCCATGGAGGCTGTGTGGGTAAAGGCTAGGGATTATTAATGTGCCTTCCTGAGGGCACTGGGGACTGCCTCAGCCGATGGGAACCGAGAAACAGAGGGAGTAGGAGGAAGATGCCACTGCCTGGTGGGGGCAACACTCCAAAATGCCTAGGGATGCTGTGTCCCTGAATGAGGGAGCTTAGAACAGACTGGTGACAGGTGGTAGAGGTACAGAGACAGTCCTCTCTCAGCATGGGACAGACGGGTCTGGGGAATTAAGGATGCAGAGACATCCCCCTTCCAACATAGGAGAGATATCAGATATGCCAGGAGAATACAGATGGGAGAGGTGCAGTGGTGGCCTCCTCCCAGCATGGGGCAAGGGGACTTGATGCTTAAAATCAAATACATTTTTTCTCAAATAGGAATTAATTTACAGGACTGAAGAGCAACAGAGTGCCACAGAGGGGTGAGGCAACCCTGTCAGAACAGGCCGGGGGGCAAGCACATCTCCTGACATGGGTGCTCACTGGGGGCAGGGATTCTGCACTTCTGGATGGCCACTCTTGGGGGTGGCCCATCTCCATGGCACCAGCAAGGTCTCCCCTACTTACAAGAGAGACTGGATGGAGCGGTTTGTCTTCAGGGCTTCTGCCAGTTGCTTGACCCGGTTGATGTTGGACACAATCCCCAGGTTGAGGTTGAGCTGAGCCAAGGAGTGAGATTCCGCTACCCCTCGGCAAATGCGCCCGAAATCCCGGTCAGAAAGCTGGCAGCCCCGGAGTGACAGCAGTCGCACCGAGTTCTCCCGCAGGCTCTCGCAAATGTCACGGATCTCAGCACTTGATAAAGTCTCCCCAGAGATCTGGATAGACCCTGGCAACATCTTTCACCAGTTTTGGCAGTGAGCAAACACACACAGACACCTGCAGAAGCTGCTGTGCAATCTGGATCTGTGCAGGTAAATAATGTGCAATCTGAATTGGTGCAAGTGAATAATGTGCAATCCAGATCAGTGCAGGTGCAATCTGGATTGGTGCAATCAATGCTGGGATCTGCTGTGCAAATCTAATTAGTGTAAAGGATTTTGTGCAGTCTGGATTAGCCCAAGGCTACTGAGCAATACGGATTGGTGCAGGTAAGTAATGTGCAATATGGACCTGTGCAAAGGCTGCTGTGCAATCTCAATTCCTGCAAGTAACTCACGTGCAATCTGGAGCTGTGTCGGTGCTGATGTTGTGCAATCGGGTCAGTGCAGCGCTGCTGTGCAAAATCGAGCGATGCAAGGAAACTATGTGCAATCCAAATAGAAGCAGGTAGATAGTCTCCAATCCTTGTAGCGGCTGCAAAATTCGACGCAGTTACGGGTAGAGTCAAGGAGCACGATTCCCGGGATGGGAAAGAGGTGTGCAATCCGCAACGGAGCCGGCTACCGCGGGAGCCGGATCACCAAGAAGGAGGGTTTATATCCAGATCGGAGCCGGATCACCGCGTGGGTCACACCGGATTCGGAGGGATCTGAGCCCACCGCTAATGATACGGGGAGACAGAGCCGAAGCAGCCGCGGGGCCCGTGAGACCGGGGAAGGGGAAGGAAAGGGGCTGCGCTGTCATCCGGCTTCAGAGCCGCATCAGGGGCCGGGACCTCCCCGGGCGCGGATCATCCCTACCCCGGTGCCCAGCTCCCTTCCCCCGGCAGGCGGCAGCCAGCCCGGGATCTCTGCGTTACGGCTCTTTCCGCCCGCTGCACCTGCTCTGCTGGAGGCGGGGACTCTGCTGCCGTGGCACCGGGATTCCCGGGGCGGAGCTGGCCGGGCCCCCGGCTGGGCCCGGCTCACTCTGCACCTTGCTCCGGATCACCGTGTTGCCGAGCCGGAGCGGCTCCTCCCTCGCAGCCCCGGCTCCTCCTACCGGCTCGGCAGGGGCTGTAGCCGCCTGTGCCTGGTGCCAGCCAAGCCCCCTGGGCCAGCGCCGCTGCGGGGATCCGGCTTTGTGTGGGGCCGCCCGGCGAGGGCTGGCTGGTTCCTATTGCCACAGACCAGCAGCTAGGGCGACCAGACAGCAAATGTGAAAAATCGGGACGGGGGTGGGGGGTAATAGGCGCCTATATAAAAAAAAGACCCCAAAATCAGGACTATCCCTATAAAATCAGGACATCTGGTCACCCTACCAGCAGCCTCCGCCTCCGCCTCCTCCCCTGCCTGGCTGGGTGCGGGGCAGCAGGTACCTGGCCCCGTGCAAAAAGCCTGGGACCGCCCATCCCCCACCCTTTCCTTAGGCCACTTTGCTGCACCTCTATTTTGGGATATATCCCCTCCCCCCAAATATAGTTAGGGCAGGAGGCCTTGCACCTCACACCCCTCGGCCCATGAAGCCCTTAGTCCCCCTGGGGGTGGGATCCCCCCCTTACAATGAGAGGGGGAGGAATTTGCACCCTGTGGTCAGGAGCTTCGGATTCCCACTCCCCTGTTCAGGCCACTGGCCTCTCCAGGCTGGATACCTGGGTTGCAACTCGGGCTTAGGGAAAGGAACCGAACCCTGCTGGGGTATGTCATGTGATTGAACTACAAATGGAGAAGGAGAGACAGCAAGAGAGGGGATTTGCCCAGAGGAGTAGCCCTAGTGGCATTAAAGCAGAGCGTGGGAAGGCAAAGAGAAGGGCAGTGGTCCAGGTAATAGAGTCACTGAGGAGGGAGTTGCATGGTTTCAAAGGCTGAGGAGATATTTTAGGGTATCATGGGACTAACAGAGCCTTGTCTGAAGCACCCAGTCAAAGGGCCAGGAAATTAATAAGTTCCATGGACATCTGAGAGGGCCAGATGTGTGTAAAAAGGACCCTACTTCCAGGCCAGAGATGAGTGGGGAAGATATTGTGGTGTGGTCAAAGAGCTACCCATCAAGTGAGACAACCCCACATGCCAACCCCGGGAGGGTCAAGCTATTGGGCTAGAAATGGGGAGAAAAGGATTTTAAATGGTGCTTTCAGGGCTGCTGCTATCAGAGACATCTTCTTAAGTAGGGACTGGTAGGTAGGGGAGTTGGTGGTAGGCTGGGGGCCAGCAAGGTGATGTTGGGAACAAAGATGCTGTATTATTCACCGTTAGTAATATTGTTGTGGCACGGGTATAAGTAAAATGCCTGGTATGACATTAGTGAGAGTGCTTGATATAAAACTCTACACTGCAAGGGTTAAAACGGAGGGCCTCCACAAGGGACGCCATGAGGGCTGGCTGCAGCAACAGCTTCCAAATGGTGGTTCGGGGGTCCTGTTGACTAGGCACTTTCTCTTCTTTGCTTGGGGAGTTGCAGAGGAGCTGGTTGCAGAGGCCATTGGCTTTAGTCAAATCTCTCTCAGGTTCTTTTGTGTAGTAAGACAGCTAACATCCAGGCCTGCCTGAACTAGCCTCTGTGATCCAGGGCTAGTGACTTTGGGCAAAAGAATTTTCCAAGTGGAAGGATGGGCCAGGACACAGGGACAGACGGAGGCCCAATGTCACAGAGACAGAAAGCTAGTTGCTTCTTGTATAAAGATTTTGAGGGTTGTCTTAGCCGGGGTGTCTGCAAGTGGAATTGTCCCTGTGAAGGTTTGGGCCACCTGTGTGTAAGGTGATCAAGTTCTATGCATGTGAATTGATCTGCTATTTAAATTAGAAATGGAGGAGAGCCATGCAGAGGGGCTTGCCCAGAGGCCAAGGCCTGGGGTTGCGGTGGTGGAACTAAAGCATGGCTTGAAAGGGCAGAGTGGAAGGCACATTTTCTTCTGCACAGCAAAACATATAAGGGAGTCACATGGTTTCATAGAATCATAGAAGATTAGGGTTGGAAGAGATCTCAGGAGGTCATCTAGTCCAACCCCCTGCTCAAAGCAGGACCAACCCCAACTAAATCATCCCAGCCAGGGCTTTGTCAGGCCGGGCCTTAAAAACCTCTAAGGATGGAGATTCCACCACCTCCGTAGGTAACCCATTCCAGTGCTTCACCACCCTCCTAGTGAAATAATTTTTCCTAATATCCAACCTAGACCTCCCGCACTGCAATTTGAGACTATTGCTCCTTGTTCTGTCATCTGCCACCACTGAGAACAGCCTAGCTCCATCCTCTTTGGAACCCCCCTTCAGGTAGTTGAAGGCTGCTATCAAATCCCCCCTCACTCTTCTCTTCTGTAGACTAAATAAGCCCAGTTCCCTCAGCCTCTCCTCGTAAGTCATGTGCCTCAGCCCCCTAATCATTTTCATTGCCCTCCACTGGACTCTCTCCAATTTGTTCACATCCTTTCCGTAGTCGGGGGCCCAAAACTGGCTGCAGTACTCTAAATGTGGCCTCACCAGTGTCGAATAGAGGGGAATAATCACTTCCCTCGATCTGCTGGCAATGCTCCTAGTAATGCAGCCCAATATGCCATTAGCCGTCTTGACAACAAGGGCACACTTCTGACTCATATCCAGCTTCTCGTCCACTGTAATTCCCAGGTCCTTTTCTGCAAAACTGCTGCTTAGCCAGTCGGTCCCCAGCCTGTAGCGGTGCATGGGATTCTTCCATCCTAAGTGCAGGACTCTGCGCTTGTCCTTGTTGAACCTCATCAGATTTCTTTTAACCCAATCCTCCAATTTTTCTAGGTCACTCTGGACCCTATCCCTACCCTCCAGCGTATCTACCTGTCCCCCCAGCTTAGTGTCATCTGCAAACTTGCTGAGGGTGCAATCCATCCCATCATACAGATCATTAATAAAGATGTTGAACAAAACTGGCCCCAGGACCGACCCCTGGAGCAGTCCACTTGATACCAGCTGCCAACTAGACATCGAGCTGTTGATCACTACCCATTGAGCCTGACAATCTCAAAGGCTAACGGGGATAATCTAGGGTATCATGGGACTAACAGAACCTTGGCTGAGACAGGGAAATGACGGGGGATTGTAGATCCCAGGAGAGTTACTCTGAAAGAAGAGAAGGAGAGGCAGCTGGACACATGGTAGCAATGAAGGGAGTCAGGCAGTTTGCCTACCCCACTAACCCTGTGCCTTTCTTCATCCAGTAGAGAGAGTGAATGAAAGCTGATCAGGGAATGATCTGTCAGAGCAGAGAGGCCTGAGACCCGGGGAGTTCTTTGACAAACACTGGAGGTGTGTGCTCAGCAACATGGTTCCTGCCCCCAGGGCTCATCATCTGAGTTAGACAGGCCAGGCTCTGCTCACATCCTTTGCTCAGTGCAGGGAGGCAGAGAAGGGGGTTGGGACACATCCCAGCTCTGATTACCTCAGCAACACTCACTGCGCAGGACTTTTCTGGCCCACTCCCATTAAATGAACGAACTAAGTGTGAGCAATGCGGGTGAAGGGGGCCTGACCCCCTTCCATTCACAATGTTCCCCGGGTGCAGATGAGAGGGTGCTGGGAAAGCACCATGCTGAGGTCCCTAAAAGATTTCTATAGCTGGTGGGAAATAGGAAGCAGAGAGACTATAGCTAGATTTCAGCTCAGTATAAATTGCAAAAGAAGCTAGTGGAGTGATGTGAAGATTAGGTTAAACTGCATACGTAGACAGCTTTCTGCAAAGAGCTAATCCGCTAAGGAAAAGGATTGGGTGATGTATATAGAAACCCCCAAGCAAAATCACATCTTGTGAGTACTTAAGGAAGCAAAACCAGGCTCCTGAGCATCAGGCACAGGTGGGGAAGGAGAGAGGAGATGGAAAGTGAGGGAGAAACAGGATCCTGACAAGCATGTTAAGTACCCATTCAACTTTTCTCTTTGGAAGGGAGAAGGGGTCACTTGAGCCAGGGTTTGCATTTCATGAGGTTGCACAAGGCAGCATGTAGAAACCAAAGGGGAGCAGCAGAAAAAGGCAGATAAGGATCTGGGCTCAGGTGACAAGTCCAAGGCCTTGGTTGCAGCACCTAATTTTCTCTGGAGGTGTCAACATCCTGTCTGAATAATCCTTAGCTGTCTTCTAGCACTTTCCAGCCACCACTTTATCGAGGCGGGTGAATATCTGTCTCCCCATTTCACAGAAGATGGGATGGAGATGGAGGCGGTTGATGGGGGGCTAGGTTTTCAAAAGGCTCAAAAACCCAAGCAAGAAGACTCTGTGAAGTAAAGTAGGTGTGGAGAAGTAACTGCATGGGCCCTGGAGCAGGAGAGGCCATTGTGGTGCCAACACTGGCTCCCCGCATCTAGGTGTCCAGGGCTGGTACAGGTGATGTTTTGCAAACAGGGAGTTGCAGAATCTCTTACGTGCTCAGATTAGGTGTCTGAGTGGGAATAAGGCCCTTTGCTGTGGGGTTGTGAGTAAAATGGCTGTGTGTCAGAGCAGCCCAGACTGATACACAGTACTCCAGCGGGAAGAATGGTCAGATAGCGCAGTGCCTCTGGCCAGTGCAGGTTGAAAGGGAGAAGATGTTGCATTCTCCCTCATGATTACCTCCAGGCACCAATTACCCATGTCCCACTAAAAGGGCTATTATTAGAGAGTGGCTCTGGGAAGAGAGCCCCTGGGACATGTCCAACTTCCATTAACTGTAGCAGCCCTGCAGCATCACTTGGAGTGAGTGCTAAACCACTTCTAAGGTCCTGGTGCTGGGATCTGCTTCTCCATATAGTGAGGAACACTTTGAGAGGACAGAGGCTGTTAGTTCCAAGCATGATTCTTCTCCTCACCACTCTGTGTGTTTGGGGCATGGGCTGTGAAAACAGCTGGGGCATTGGGCAAGAAGGACTGGTGGCTAATCCATTCCTAATCCTGGCCCCAGACCAGATTTAGTGAGCCATAGGGAAGGGGCTTATGTAGCAAAACTTACGCTGCAGACTGTATGTATTGTTCTTTCTTATGCA